ACCCCTGATTGAGTGTATGGGAAAATTAAGCCAAGTGCATATGAGAAATTGAAAGTAAATGTAAAATAAAATAAATATTTAAAAGTTGGAGTGGTAGAGATTGAAGTTTACTCATTTATTTAGAATTAGAGATGTAAATATAATTTTAAAATATTTGTTTAACCTCCTCTAATTATATCGGTTAAGCTAGGGGCAAGCAATTATTTTGGCCGGAGGGCCACTTACCCAGTTTTGGCAAGCTGTTGAGGGCTGCATGGGTAGCCCTGCCCCTTGACGGGTGCCCTGCCCCCTGGTCACCTTGGGCCTGGGACATTGGTCCCAGCACCGGCAGGGCCCAGAGCGGGGTGCAGGCTGGCAGGGGTCTGTAGAGCCGGGCTCGACTGCACCAACAGGCGGGGGGGGGAGCTGGCCTGGCTCCATAGAGCCCCTACCACCCAGGACCCTGTACTCCTGCTGCCCTGCTCTGGGCCCTGCCAGTGTTGGCCCTGGGACACTGGTGTGGGCCCCATGCTCCCGCTGGCTCCTGTACCCACTCATTCCCAATGCCCCCCCCCAGCCCTGCAGTACAGGCAGGGGGTAGTGCGCAGCCCCAACCCCGCACCTGCCAGCAAGGAACGAGATGGTGCTGAGCGTGGGGGAAAAGCTGCCCCATGGCTGGTGCTCCTTGCTGCAGCTGCTTGCAGCCTGCACGGGGCTGTCCTGAGCAGGCACAGGCAGCCTCACACAGGCTGTGAGTGGCTTCAGCATGGGGCACTGGGGAGGGGACGCTTTTCCCCACGCTTAGCAACAGCTGTAACCCGCCCCCGCTGCCAGCCTGGGCCCCGCACTGGCTCTGGGCTTGCCTGTCGGGGCTGTGTTGTGGCAGCAGCAACTGCTCAGCATGGAGGAAAGTGGCCCCCCGCCCCCACTCGCTGTGCCAGGCAGTGTTTGCTGCTGCTTGTGCCATGGTAGGCTGCAGTGCTCTGTCCTGCCCAGTGTGGGAGCTCCGGGTGGGTAGCAGCAGCAAACATTGCCTGGCATGGCAAGCAGGAGGGCCACAGCTGCTCCCACCGCAGCGCAGCCCTGATGGGTGAGCCTGGAGCTGGCATGGGGCCCAGGCTGGCAGCAGGGGTGGGTTACAAGCTGGTGCTGAATGCAGGAAAAAGCAGCCCCTCCCCTGCTTTGTGGCCGGCGCCCTGCACTGCAGCTGCTCACAGCCTGCATTGGGGTGCCTGCTTAGGACGGCCCTGTGTGGGCTGTGAGCGGCTGCAGCAGGGAGCGTGGGCCATGGGGTTTTCGGCTGAGGGGGTGGGGTTGGGGGGCCCTGCTGTTGCAGGAGCCTGCTGGGGCTTCCCCATGGTCCTACTGCCCCTGGCTCCTGTCATCTTTGACAGGAACCAAGGACAGATGAATATGTATTAATTTTCTAAATTTTTTTAGGGGCCCTGTGGGCCAGATAGAATGGCCTAGCGGGCTGGATATGGCCCCCAGGCTGTATTTTTCCCACCCCTGGGTTAAGTGGTTTAACCAATAATATACCAGCTCCAGCAGAGCTGCTGCTGGGAACTGCTCCCTGCCCCCAGGGCCCTTTTACTGTGGGGAGGGCTGAAGAAGTTAAGCTCAGCCAGCCAACACAGCCCATGTGAAACCCTGTGCTGAGAGGGAGAGGGCATCTGTGAACCAGCAGATAATTGTTGAATTTGATGGGTCATTAGGCTGTTTTCCTCTTAGGCTATAGGTACTAGTCCCCCTCCCTCTCTCCTTCTCCTGGTTGCTCCCTCCCTGTCTTCAGCCTGCCCTGCTGCCTTTTGATTCTCACTGGGGCACCCTGGCTAGGGACAAGTGATTAGAAACTGGTTTAAACCTGTAACAGAGCAGACATTCAGTGCACATGAATCAGTTTGAAAATAGCTGAAACTGGTTTGGGATAAATTTGGTTGAATGTAGTATCGGACTTAAATAATTTGGGTCAAACCAGTTTATGCACTGTCTGTCCCACACCCCTTCCTGGTTTAAGTTAAACCAGAGTCCCCCAGGATCCAGGCATGCTTTCTCAGCTGAGCTAGACTTTCTGTTCCAGAGAGCTGGGCTGGCCCCTCCCCTCTGCTCTGTTGCTGCACCTCCAGGAGAGGTTTGCAGGCTCAGCAGTGTCTGCCTGGCTTCCCCTGCTCCCTCCCCCCCACTTGCTGCTCAAGCAGAGATCCCTCCTGTCCCTCTCACAGCACAGACTGTAGCTGACATGTGGTATGCAAGGTAACCCTGAAAGGTGTTTGTGCTTTTTGGAGCTAATCGACAGGTAGCTTGGGCTTTTTGGAGCTAATCGACAGGTAGCTTGGAAAAAGCTATTTAAGAAGAGCTTGAACTGATGAGACAAGTCTTGTTTTCTGATGGGGTGCTAAATGCCGATAACAGAGCTGATAAAGGCAGGACACTCTGATTAAGGAACCCCCTCCCTAATTGGAGCATCCTGCGTGGGCCTGGCCTTGCCCCCCTCAGCTCAGCACTTTGAAAGGGAAGTGAGGGCTGCTTTAGCCCCTCCTGGCTTCTAGCCTGAACCACTTCAGACATGTGCCTGCATTTCTGGAATGCAAAGGGAATGTCTATCCACCTCCAAATCGGTTCAAGCGTTAGAGGTTAGACTAACCTGCAAAGACTGAATCAGTTCAGGCTCAAGCTTTTTGAATGTCTGTCTTTCTTCCCCCCCTTCCCTGCTAGACTGGAGTTGCCTAGAGCTACATGATAACTGGTAAGCTAACTGGTTATCACTGCACTTACCGGTTAAACAATTAATCATTTAAGCTTTCACATCCTTACTTAAAATAGGACAATAGTTTTATTGTTTAGATTTCAAACGTGCTTTGGCAGACATTTTGAAAATATTTCATTATCTAAATATGTCATGCAAATAATAATCCCTTGAATTCATATAATCTTCCATCATATTAATTTACAGCCTTTCAGTGAAAGTTTATTTCATATTTGACTTTAAAGCACGTGTCAGATTTAATATGAGATAATTGTGTTGATTTAAACTAGGGATGCACTGATAGAGATTTTGGGGGCTGATACCGATATCTGATTTTTAAGGAGGGATATTGGCTGATACTGGTCTGATTCCTGATGCAGCTACATGCAACTGGTAAGTCTGTTGTGATGGAAGGGGAGGAAAGGGGCTTTGGGGGTGGGGGGGCAGATCAGGGCTCCTGTGTTTAGAGAGGGAGTGGGGCTGGGGAAGGGGCTGAGACAGGCGCTGCCCAGCTGGGATGAAACCATGGCTCATCCAGGGGCTGCGGGGAAGGGGGGGCAGCTCCTGCCACTGTGTGCACCCCAGGATGGTATGGAGGGGCGGCTTTGTGCCCCCGGATCTGGCAGGGCGGGCTGCAGGCTGAGGCTGGGGCTGCTCTGGGCTCTTCCCAGGGTGGGCTGGGCCGGGCTGCACTCGGGGCAGGTGGTGGTGGTGCTGGGAGAGGGGCTATGTAGGGGGGCTGCAGTCACCCCAAATTTTGCTGTAGTCCCTGCTCCCAACTCCACTACCACCTGCCCTGACCCCCCCCTCCCTGGTCCAAGCTCTCATCCAACTCCCAAAACGCCCCAGGAAGAGCCTGGCATGGCCCCGGCCCCAACCTGCAGCTGCAGCCCCCCACCTTACCCCAGTGCCCTCCTGGGGTGCGCACAGCGGCAGGAGCCACCCCCTGGATGAACCACAGCTCTGTCCTGCTACCCACCCCACCCCAGCTGGGCAGCATCTGCCCCTGTCCCACTCCCTCCCTCACTATGGGGGGTGTGGATCTGCTGCTCCCTCCCCTTTCTTTTACCCCTCTCCTTTTACCTCAACAGACTTACCAGAGGTACACAGCTCTCCAAGCTGCTGGGCTGTGCTCCTTGCCGCCCGTGTGCTGCGCTGTGGGTGCATGCATGTGCAGGCATTTATCAGCCAAATTATCGGCCACAGTTGGCTAATTTCTGATGCAATCAATTTTCTTTATATTGGTGCCAATCCAATATCAGTCTGATGTATTGGTACACCTCTAATGTAAACTTCCTGGCATGTTAAAATTCAGTGCACATAAGATGGTGATTGCCCTCTGATTCTTAGTCTAGTTTCCCAATTACATCTAGGCCTAGTACTTCTTCAGGCTCAAGTGGAGGATTTTTAGATCAGTTATTTTTTTGGTTGGCCTTAATGTTCTTGTTCATATAGGGTAACTGGTAATTAGCTTGTTTTTAAAAGTGAAAATGTCATCTTAATCCATATTGATCAGTACTTACAGATTTGGTATGATGGTACAATGGATGAAAAGTGGCAGTATTACTGTAACTGAGGTGTCAACTGAAATAATTGTTTGCAGTAGACATGTCATTTTTGAAGATCCTGGTAACAACAGCAAAGCTGAATTCAAAGTGCAGGGAGAGGATGCATAAAACCTTTGTGGGAAGGAGGAGAGGAAATAATGTTAAAAAAAAAAAGGTAGAGATCAAGCATTGGGTCTGGGAAAAGGTAAAAGGGAGTCAGGGATTTGTTTGTAGAAACAGTTGGGAAAAGAGGAAAAAGCAGTGGCAGGTTTTAACTGTGAATTACAGCTGGATGCTCCTAGATCTGTTGTTCTTGTCACTCTGGTTGAGAATCCTTGTCCTAGCGCCTGTGTGTGTGAATGGAGGGAGGGATGTGGGGGTTCTTGTTTTTTGAAGTCAGCTACTTGTTTTAAATTACTACAAAGGTCAAAAGGGTTGCAGGAATAGGGGTTTACGTTGGGATTCTATATTAATTTTTCTGTTTGATTTTTGTGATCTCCTTCAGTGTTACAGATAAAAGCTGTTTGCTGATGATGGATATATAACCAACTTACTTGTAGATGTCAGCTGCTTTTAATAAAGGAAACACCTCAATTTGGATATCCCCTATGTAGAACCAGGGTCCTTCAGTTGAATTATTCTGTTGTCATACCAAACACAGTGACACCAGCTCTTTTTTCCTTCTTTATTTCCTTTCTGTGATCAGAAATTATGTTTCTATTGTAGCAACATGAACCGTGAAGACCGGAATGTGCTGCGTATGAAAGAAAGGGAAAGGCGAAATCAAGAAATTCAACAGGGCGAAGAAGCCTTTCCACCAAACTCTCCTCTCTTTGCTGAACCTTATAAAGTTGTGAGTTTCTGCAGTTCTAAAACAATGCAGTTGTTTTTTTTTTGTAGCAAAGCCATATTCAATTGACTGATGGTAGCCTTTCTTTTTTTTTAGACTGCATTATTTGGTGCACAGCTCTTGTGTACAGAAACAGGGTTTAAAAATGAAGGTGGAAGGTTACTAGGTAGCAGAGCTAATAGATCACTCAAGATGTTGCTTTATTTGAAGGAATGAAATGAGCTACTACACTACTACAGTGACATTTCAGGTTTTTAATTCATTCATTGTTTTAGAGCAACCATAGCAATTAGCTGAGGAAATGGGAATTGGGTCTTGCTACACTAAATGTTGCCTGTTGTACTAGGCCAGTGATATTAAAGTGGCAAAACCCCTCTATTATGGATAAAGTTATAATAACAGAGTTCATACAGCCTTTTCTGGTTTGAGAAGTAAGAGTATATAGCTTTACTAGTGAACACATTTATACTGGTAAAATTGTGTCCGCAGTAGGATTTGTACCAGTATAATTAATGGGAAAAACAAATCGTACCCATAAGACGGGATGACTTTTCTAGGTTTTAAGGAACTGTTGGAGAAATATCCTAGGAAATCAGTTAGTACTTACTTTTTTTTTTTAAGATCACGTGTCTAGTCTTCTGGTGACCATTTTAGGTGATTGATATTATTGTTCAGATGTTCACTATAAGTCTAGAGCAGGGGTGGGCAATTATTTTGGGTGGAGGGCTGCTTACCAAGTTTTGGCAAGCGGTCGAGGGCTGCATGGGTAGTCCTGCCCCTTGACAGGTGCCCTGCCCCCTGGTTGCCATCTTGTGACCAGAAGTCCCGCCCCCTAACTCCTGACCTTTGCCACCAGAAGTCTCTCCCTTTCCCCCAGAAGTACTCCTTTCAGCAAGGAGTTTTGCCATCTTGGAACCCAAAAATACCAAATTATATTCTAAAAAGCCAACATCTACAACATTTATTACTTTGATTTCAGAAAATATTTTTGTCTTGATTTACATGCGTTTGTGTAGTGTACGCAGAGGTTATTGCACAATAGCTTAAAATGAAGTCTTACTCTTGTATATTGTGGGAGGTGCATATAGGATTGTGGGGGGCCTTGGGAGGGTGGGTATGGAGTTTCTGGGGGGGGAGGGTGGCTGGGGTGTGGGCACCTGCGTGTATGGCAGAGCGAGGGGAGAGGTGTGAGTGCATGTGTATGGAGGGATGTGCATGTGGGACTCGCCCTATGAACACAGGCGCATGCGCAGACACACTGCCCCTGCCTACATGCACACACTCTCTGCCCCTGCCTGCACACTCTGCCCCTGCCTACACGTGTACCAGCGGGGCCCTGTGCTCCCCGGCCGGCAATACAGCTGGGAGGCACATGGTGCTGGAGCAGGGCTGGGGCAGGAAAAGAGTGAAAGGATTGAGAGTGGGGCAGGGCTGGGCTGCTCAGTCCTGCTGAGGGCTCCCCCTGGGTCCTACTGTCCCTGGCTCCTGTCAGCTTTGACAGGCAGCCAGGAGCAAATAAATATTAATTTACTAATAGATTTTGAGGGGCCCCATGGGCCTCATAGAATGGCTTGGCAGGCCAGATTTTCCCAACCCTGGTCTAGAACTATCTCATATGGAACTTGTGTACTTGGGGACAAACTAATATAAAATCTGACCCCAGTTCCAGATTTGTGATTCTGATGGGCAGCTTTTTTTTCTTTGAACAAAATTTCCGTTCTGTTTATTGCTGACACTGGAGAACTGTGCAGAAGACTGACTAGAAACTGGCTATACACTTCATTCATTCAAGAGTGAATTGGGCCCATTTTTTTCCCCAGAGTGAGAGATGCTGGGATATAAAAAGTGCGTAAATAAAATATTCATTTCTTTAAAGTGCTAACTCCACTTCTGTGGGTGGCCAGCAATGCTTCCACACTTTTCATTTCATAGGGAGTCTAAAGCAATGGTTCCTGACCTCTTTGGCTGAAAGGTACCCATCATTAGACACAAGGCACCCCTCCATAACTTTTTGAACAGGGGAGAGCTTGGTTCACAAAACTTATTTATTTATTACAGCGTTTACCTCCTTGCAGAGGGGCTGGGCAGTAGAAGTGGGGGACTGATAAGGCAGAGAAGAGTCTGAGTTTGAGTGCACCTCATCAGCACCCTTCAAAGGATCTCACAGCACATCAGTGTGCCCTGGCACCTCAGTTGAGAATCACTAGTCTATAGAGTTTTGTGAGCAGGATTTTTAAACGTTACCATAAAACTTTTTAGACTTTCTGTTTGCTTCTATTCCCTTAATTGTCTAACTTATTGGTATAGCTTAATATATGTGTGTAGCTAATAACAACTGTTTAATGGAAACTTTATGGTTTTCTCTGCTATTTCAAGGAACGCATATTAAGTGTCACATATACACAAACTGTAGTTAATTAAGCTGCTTTAGATTGCTTCCCACAGGCTATCAAAGTAAGTGTGCTGAGTGGCCCAGTTTAAAACTTTTTTGCTCTTTTTATTGGTAGGAGTTTCTATCATAAATCTTTAGAACATGGAGTCCTATTTTATTCTTTCTTAAAGGAAGGGTGGCACTGTGACATTTAAAGGGGAAGCCATAAGGGAAAGATCTACTTCAATGAGGATTTTAGAGGGCTGCTTCTAAGGGTGCACCAAATATAGAAACATCAGTCTACGTTCCCCATTTTGCCTATTTGATAAACAATCAATCCTTAACTAGCGCAGCCAAATTAGCTTTCTGTTAATAGCTGAGGTTTGTTTTGGGTGCCAACCATTAGTCTATTCCAGGATGTAAGGCAAAATTTTGCATTGATGCTTGACACATCTTGTATTGTCTTTGTTTACTTGTGATCGTGTTTTCTGGGGTTGGGTTGAAGACTCTACCGTTACGTTATGTAGATGTATTCTGTATTTATGTGGTGCTTTATAGAGCTGTATCTATAATCTGGCTCAGTGGTTCTCAACTTTTTTAGGGTCAAGGCACTCGGAAAATTCCAGCCCTTAGTTTTCACTCTCTTTTGACTACCGAAAAATAACAGGGCAGTTATTTTGTTGCAAAGAACTTGGAAAGCTCACAACAGGTCAGAATGTTTTTGACGCTATGGATTCCTATTTGAAATCTCTGGGTTTATGTTGTGAATTTTATTTGCGTGCCTAACAGTGCTAACATTGTGTGGCACCCCACAGCACCCTTGAAAGGATCTCAAGGCACCTCACGGTGCCCAGGTCCCCTGGCTGAGAATCACTGATCTAGCTACCATTGTTTCCTCAAAGGAAGCTATGGCAACTATCAAACTTGACTGAATATACTATTATATTAGCTTACTAACAGCTTCTTTGTTACAGGTGCACAGTCAAATGGGAAGCTGGTTTTATCCTACTGTCATTTTAACCTTAAAAAGATACAGTATGTAGAAAGATGAGGAGAGATGAAAGAAGTGAAGATTCTGAATAAATTATGAAATCAGGCTATCAATTCTAGCCATCAGAAAGGAATAACAGCACAGTCTGTGGGGTCTTAAATAGAACATTTCTAAGCTGTTTGTACTAGGATTTCAGTCACCAGTGGGAGTTGGGTTTCTGCCGCCATTTCCCAAATTTGAAAATTCCACCTCCTTTCTGTGATGGCCTATGGGCCGTGTAGCCCAGTTGCGAGAGCCCTGCAATGGGATTCCTTAGATCTGGGCTCTGTTCCGAACTGCCTTTGCTCTTCTGGGTGATCCTAGGCAAGTCATTTCATTTCCGTATGCCAGTTTTCCCTGAGTAAGCCCCCCAATTTCATTTTAATACGGACTAACTTTTTATAAAGTACTTGGTGGAAACCTGATGATGAAAAGCTCCAAAGCAGTGTTAATAATTTGCTACTATTTTCTTAATGTGTTTACATTTATAAGAGAGTATAAAATTTTTTTTTAAAGACGTGTTTGGTAGGGTACTGTTTACAGACTCTGCAGTACAAACTAGAATGCTTATGGAGTTCTTAGCCTTGATTAGTTTTTTATCAAGTGAACTGACTGAACTTGCAGTTGTGATTTTAAAAAATAAATAAATTTCATATCTTATTTCTGTTATGCCTTGTACAGACCAGCAAAGAAGATAAACTATCTAGTCGTATTCAGAGTATGCTTGGGAATTATGATGAAATGAAGGATCTTATAGGAGACAGATCTCTGCAAAAGCTTGTTGGAATTCCCAAGCCAACAGTACCATCAACCCCAGATGAAAAATCAAACCAAAGTTTCTTTGGTGAACAGAGACATAGTACTAGCTCTCATCAGAGCAACAAGTGGACTCCTGTAGGACCAGCACCTAGCACTTCCTCCCAATCTCAGAAACGGTCCTCAGGTTTACAGAGTGGACACAGTAGTCAGCGTGGCAGTGGCAATAACACTAGCAGTAGTGGCCAGAGACATGATCGTGACTCATACGGTGGTAGCAGTAGCAGCCGCAAAAAGGGCCAGCATGGATCAGAACACTCAAAATCCCGTTCTTCCAGCCCTGGAAAACCACCTGCTGTTTCTTCATTGAGCTCCAGCCATTCCAGGTCTCATGGAAGTGATCATCATAATAAGGAACATCAGCGTTCAAAATCTCCACGTGATTCTGATGCCAACTGGGACTCTCCCTCCCGTGTACCTTCGTTTTCAAGTGGGCAGCACTCTAACCAGTCTTTCCCACCTTCGCTAATGTCCAAGTCAAGTTCAATGTTGCAGAAGCCCACTGCCTACGTAAGGCCCATGGATGGACAGGAGTCCATGGAACCAAAGTTATCTTCAGAACACTACAGTAGCCAGACCCATAGCAACAACATGAGTGAGCTGAAGCCTAGCAGCAAAGCGCATCTAACCAAGCTGAAAATACCGTCTCAACCACTAGACGTAAGTTGGTAGCAAGTTATTGGGTTTTCATTTTAAGTGTCTGTGGGTGGGATTTTCAGAAGAGCCTGAGGGAGTTCAGATACCTCATTTGTTCAGGCCAGTGGTGTGGGGTTGGTCCGTGGACTTGATCCTGCATGCAGTGTCAGCTTGCGGGTCCAGCATAGGGTCCTTCTGCAGGTGAGGTCTGGTGTGCTTGCCTGACCTAATTCACCAGATCCAATTGTGTGCTGGCCTGACCCTGTGTGCCAGCACAGTCTAGTGCCTAAGGCTGCATTATCTGGTCCACAAAGTTCCCCATGGGTCTGGAAACTTGCCACCAGGTGAGCAGCACTGCCTCCACTCTCCAGCCACCAAATTTCCAGTCCTCTGGGGAGACCGCTGGGCTGGATGACATGTTTTTGTAGGCTGGATCTGGCCCACAGGCTACAGGTTGAGCACCAGTGGTCTAGGCCCAGTTTATAGGCCAATTTTTTACTCAAAAGAGATGAAGCATCTCGCTGAAAACTGAAGCATTTTATGTTCCATGCAGTGAAGTCACACATTTTCATTCAGAAGTGAGTTATTTTTTAGTTCTTTATTTCCTTCATTTGTCTCATGTACATTTCTTATGTTTACAATGTGCATTTCAGTGTTGTTTGCAGTTACAATTTCATAGATTTTTCTGACAAGTTGCCAGCAAACAATAGACTTTACCCTGGGCCATTTTAAAATGTGGCAGATGTAGGTAATGGCATATGCCAGTTTTTCTTTCAAAGTGTTGTAGTTGCTGTATGTGGCATGCCTAAACTTTTTCTTAAAAAAAAAGAGTTGAATTGAGTTCAAACTTGAACCGGTCACACTACTATACATACAGCATATTCAGTTAAACACCTTTCAGTGATTTGACCATTCTTGGAGAGGAGAGTGCTTTGGTTGTATCTGCACAGCCATATGAGGAAGAAATATGTAAAACATAGTAAGGTGTTACTGTACCTACTGCATTGACTACTAGAGTAGCAATAGCCTGAGAGAGACTAATATTATATCAAGAAATAAGTAGTTGAATAAAATACAAAGTAATGAAATGTATTTATTTCCCATGAAATAAGAAGAGGTGCTCCATCCCTTCTGCCTCCCTTCTGGCCTAATTAGCTACAGTTGTGCCAGATTAGTGTAACTCTCCCTCCTTCAATATATACACAGTGTTACTGCATAATGCAGCTCACCAGAACAGAGTCTACAGCCTTGTTACTTTGCTCCAACTTCTTGCTGTTTTGTTCACTTTAATTCAGATATAGTCAGTGGCCTATTCCAGGAACTGTTTAAAAGTTAGGGCTTCTCCTGTTATTCTTGTGTCACTGGTTTAAGATCATGTTAACACTTAAGTGAGCATTAGGGCTGAGGAATTAGAATGGCATTATTTTTTCATGCCATTTTTGCTTTTCATGGCTGGGTGGGACTTGAGACCATAAGACATTTGGGATTGCTATGAATCTGAAATGATCATTATACAATTGTTGCTGGTTCTTTGGTCTAGCAGGTTGTCTTTTCATAGTGAATCTGGATGTATATCAAGTGCTGACTTGCAAACAAGCATCGCTCTTATTTTTCCCTTCTGTCTTGAGGGGAGGAAAAAAGCCTTAAGAGTCAGAAACATAGTAATTAATCCTGAGCTTTGATTTCTAGGCATCAGCATCTGGCGATGTGAGCTGTGTGGATGAAATTCTAAAAGTAAGTTCTGTTCTGCTGGTTCATGACCTAATGTATTAAATAAACATAAGCACTGTTAAGAGCTATGTGCAAACGAGGAAATTAACAGCTGTTCAGGAGCACCTCTTAAGCTATCTGACTTCATAAAAAGCGTTATTTGTAGTAAAGAATATAGTGCTTACCCCTAGGTCTGCTGCAGTTTTCTTAACCTCAAAGCCAGTAAAGTTTAATAGTTAATCCTCTGCCTTTCCACAGTTTCATTCCTGAATGTATTTTACTTGTCTCTTTCCTTAGATGTATATTTTAGAGATTTGAGGTCCTCTGCAAAAAACTTGCTTGCTATACACAGAGAGAGTCAAATTATTTATTCACAGTAAAGTCAAATGCATATAAAACTGGAAAAAATGGAGGTTTAAGGGGCACTAATCTTGGTGTTTTTTGATGTAGGTTAAAAAAAAAAATCAGGAAAGAGTAAGTTTTAAAAGTTGACTCTTTGATTTGTTCTAACTTTGATGGCTTTGCTGTTTGGCTTGGCTGCAGGAGATGACCCACTCTTGGCCTCCCCCGCTGACTGCTATTCATACACCATGCAAAACAGAACCTTCAAAATTTCCTTTTCCAACAAAGGTCAGTTGATGACAAATGTTTACTTAATGACCCAGTGCTCAGGGGTGTTAACAGCAGAGAACCTTTTTTTTGAAGACAAGATTTTAATACTCTTATTAGTTAAAACCATGTCTATACTGTTTTCTAGGTCTATCAGCACATTTGTTACCCTTTGTTTGAAAATCTAGTTTGGGTTCGCAACATGGGAGCCCTCATGGGGAACACAGGCTCATTCTTTTGCCATGTCCATTCTGCTCTGGAATAGTTAGCACTTTTTCCAGGGTATAGTCTTTCCTTATTCCTGGAATATTTTATTCACTCAATTACAGTGCCTTTTGGAAAGGAACAAGTCACTAGGCTTTCTTATTTTCCATACACACTATGGTTTGATAAAATCAGGCCTTTGTTGAGGTGTACTTGAGAGTACAAAGTATGCTCTACATTTACACTTTTCAGAATCATCATTTGAGCCGTTAGTCATTATTTCTTTATTATGAAAGCATTAAGAGTCAGATGCTCACCCTTCCCTAGTTTTAAGTGTAGCTGAGGGTTTGTTTGGTTTTTTTACTTGAAAAGGGATATATAACTGTTATATATGAAGAGTAAAATGTTAAAAATACAGAATATCCTCCCCAAAATTGTAATACTTACTGTTTGGGCATAGAATGAGTTTTTGATAATTTACAAGTCTGCCGGTAAGAGTACTTTTTATTTTACAAGTAAACAGCAAGATAGGAGTTTTTAAAAGGGTTTAAAATGTCCCATAAAGTGCCTACTTTCACAATGGCAGCCATTACAGTGGCACCAAAAAAAAAAGATGAAGTCCAGTTGAAGTGCTGACCCAGAGAGCTTAATGAGTCAACATGTTAGCTGAAAGGAGGTTGGCTTCACTTCTCCTTGGGCGGCATGGGAATGTGATAGCTGGCCACTGAGGCTTCAGTTCCAGTGAGGGTAATGAAGTATGGTAACCATTTTTGAAGTAGTAGATCTTTACTGACTTTTTGTACAAGACTGCTGTTTTCCATTGGCATGGACTGAAGAAGAAGCGTCCTGTTACAAAGAATTGCAAAAACTGATGTCTGCTGTTAAAAACATAAATAAACTACTTGGGCACCAGATATCATTGAAAAATCAAGGAAGGAGAAGTGCGTGTGTTTGTAGTCAATGAGGGAGAAGGGAAGCTCTTCAGTGTATTCTGTCTGCGTGTTGCTGTTCTGTAGTAAGGTAAAGGAGCCATATACTGGTAAATCTGACCCTTTGAAGTTAAATCTTAGGCATTTCTGTTTGCTAATGTATATCTTTAAATCATTAGAAAAATCATCTGGTTACTTTGTTAGTTAAAAAACAACAAGGAAATTCCCAAATGCAAACTACATGAATGTGGAATTAATGTTGAGGATTTAGCATTTAGCAATACTGTAGTTATCACCAAAGGATCTAAACTCAGGAAAAACAGAGTTAAGTTTAAGCTTGTGAAAAATTCAAACATATTAAGTAATGGAAATAGTTAAGGCATCCAGATTGCAGTGACTCCATGTGGGAGTGGGAGGGAGGAATGAAGGTAAAAACCATAATGTGATTTGAAGAAAGGATATCTTTAATCTAAAGGAAGATGAAACTGTTATAACTGAACGGCAGTTGTATGTTGCATTGTTATACTTACCAAAACATGACCCCACGTGGAGCAGATTATGTAGAATTTACCCAGCTTTAGTTTCTTGTGTATATTGACCAGAACTGAAATAGCTAACCACGTTAACGTTATAATTTTGCATCGGTCCTAAAATGGATAGAGTAGTGTGCCCGTTGTTTGGAACGGTTTCAGCTTGCCTGTAGCTTCAGTGTACATGGCTGCATAAATTGCTTTCAGTTCATATTTTAAATGTTAGCTCCACAATCGTAAGGACTACACTATTTTTTCCTTACTGAAAGAAGATTCATTTTGGAGCATCCCTGCCAATCTCCAGAAGAAAGTACCAGTTCAGTGGCATGAGGCAGTCTTATCTCTGATACAGAATAATTGAGTCGAGTATTTAAGAAGCTTCTCTCTTTCAAAAATTCATACTGTTGCCAATTTTTTCCTGCTAAAATAGATAATCTGCTGAAAATTTGTAACCGTGTAGATGGTACACTGTCATCTTCATAGCCTTCATTTATTTTAACAGGAGAACATTGTCTGTGGATAAAATTTGTTTTTACTTTGACAATTGAAGAGAGATGAAGCATGGAATAAGCATATCTAATTGCCCCAGCATTCTGTGTTCTTGAAGACTGAATTTCCTTTTGAAGGAAGTTTATTTCTAATGAAATTGTCTTTAGTACTTGAACATAAGGGAAACGTTTTTCTTTAAACATCTATTACTAATATCCTTCTTTTTTGTGGAAGCAATTGAGTAGGAGTGTTCTTATATAACTTCCAAGATTAATGGAGCTGCTTTAAGCAGTTCGTTAACATGGTCCTTTTAAGGGCTTTGATTAGGTCTTGCAAACGTGGTTTGCCAATAGCTCCAAGCCAGATGCTGTCAGTGCTCACCCACAGAACTCCCACATTCCTGAAGAGAGCTGAATGGGGCTCAGCTCATGTTTATTCATAGGTCTTCCAACCCTAGGGTTAGCCATACGTGAATTATTATCCCATTTGGATAACATGTTAGCAAACAAGATGGATTGATATTGCCCAGTGCAGTGGGAATTTACAAAAAAGCTCCACAATTCCTAAACTCGCTTCCCGGGGCATAAACAAGTTCCATGGATTCATTATGCATTCTTCATTAACATTTATTGATCTTACCCGGCATAATATAATCTAAATCTTGTACATACTTTTCATCAGAGCTTTATTGGCTAATAGTAATACAAAGCTGGGAAACTAAAATAATCTTCATTGTATTTTTAACATTAAAAGATATTTCATAGTATTTGAAATAGTATACTATCACACAGTTGCTTCAAAAGGAAGTTGGTTTCCTTACAGAATATGTTTTCCCAACATTGTAGGCATAATTTATGATAGGTTTGTTCACAAATCGATTGGCTTCTGGGCATTTGACTTGATTTGGGAAGAAAGGAGGAAAGCGTAAATGCTGAAGCTTTTGGGGTCAAGAAGAGAAGATGTAGTAGGTGTGCATGTGTGTGTTTTATGGCCTTGCATAAGAGCAAAAATGTGGACTGTGTTTTTAAAATCAACTTGCAAAAAATTCCATTTATGGCAGCTCTGTCTTCTGAATTTTAGCCAACTTTTTTTATTCTATGACTGCACATCTTAGAAGTGGAACTTTGTCAAATGCTCTCTCCACATCCAAAGCCCATAATTTCCTCTGCCTTATACCTCCTGTCATTCTTGGCAGAAACATCTTCCAAGAATTCCAGCAACTTAGTGAGCCATGGGCCTGTTTAGCCTGAAACCATAGTGGAATGCAAAAAACAAAACAGAACGGTGGCTTGCTTTAATCAGACTCCACTCTCCTAAGAGGACTTGCTCTCTTTAAATACTGGGCAAATAATAGGTTGTTGGGTACCGTGGTATTCTTCTTGCGTGCAGACACTTGATATGGCTCACATGAAACCTTGATTTCAGTAGTCTTGAGCTGCTTATATTGCAAGATTGTTGGGGCAGGGAGTCTTTTTGGGGGGAACAGTCATTAACACAGTGGATTCCTGTGCCCTGACTATCACCCTAAGGTATTTTAAAAAGGCAACACTGACTCCAAGCCAGGAAAAAATGCATGAAAATTACTTTCTTAGAATTCCTGTGCTGGGGTATGCATGATAAGAAACCTGGGCAAGATTTTTCAGTGATTTAATTGCTGAAATGTCTAAATTCTGAAATTTACCCTGTTACTTTGTGAGCCAGGGGGTGTGGGTTGAAGTTGTTACTTATGTCTACGCAGGCTTCCTGTGGACCACAGTCAGACTCCAAAGCCAAAGTATTGGTGTGTTTAAAATATGTCTTTAAAGACAAAGATTATTTGCAGACTGGAAAGTTGCTGGATTTCTGGTTTCAGACTGAAGTCTGCTTGCTCCAGAGCAAATTGTAAAACAGGCTTAGTAGCTTCTATTCCAGTGTACCTGAACTCTGACCTTAAAAGGCCTCTAAAAGTGGGAATGTGGTCTTGGGGTTTGTTCCATCTCTGACCCATCCTGTGAGTTGTGCTGCTATAAGTGATATGGAAAATGTACTGTTTGAGAAGTAGAAATGAAGTCGCTGATTATTTTTTTTTTTACGTGCATTTTTGAATAGCCGTTAAACAGCAGCCACTTTCAGTTGCTGTTTACCTGGAATAGAGCCAAATTGGAACCCCAATGTGAAAATTAAGTAGCCCATCCTACTCCATCCAACTCTCCAGCTTGCCTTTGCCATAGTTTATGTTGGTGCAGGCTGAAGTTTGCTTCCTGCTTAAATCTTATCACTGCCCATCCTGACCAGTCCATTACTCCTGTTAGATTAATATGGTTTCCTTCCTTTCTTTTGTTTCTCTTGTGTCTCTTCCAAAATAATCCTCCAGAAGGTATTGCTGGAAATGACTTTGGAGATAAAAGTATGTGCTTTTGTTGGTCCAAGTTTCTTAAAGTGAAATGTACTCTGAATCAAAATATATTGCTGGCAGATTTGATCAGGATTTTAGTTAAAATGATATCCCTTTCAAAAAATACTCAGTGCCCAGATGCAGAACTATGCAGACATTATGTATAGTATTTGCAGTGCACTTATGGGTAAAAATGTATGCAAGTTACACTCCTTGTATCCATTCCAGGATTGGGACCACCTGCACGTGCTCTTTGGTTTAGTCCAGGAGTGGTCAATTAATTCAGGCGGAGGGCCACTTACTGAGCTTTGGCAAGTCATTAAAGGCTACATGATGGGCTGCTTGGGACAGATGATATTAATTTTCTAGATTTTTTTTTTTTTAGGGGCCCCACGGGCCAGGTAGAATGGTCTGGTGGGCCACATCTGGTCCCCGGGCCGCATTTTGCCTGCCTCTGGTTTAAGCAGCCTAATTTCCCATGATTCCTTTCTGAATATTGGATGACAGTTTTCCACTCTTGCCAGTTGATAGCTTTGGTCAGGGAAAGAAAAGGAAGCTAGATAGCAAACTGTCATACTTAAAGTCAGTATATCAGTGTGAAAGATAAAAATCAGTGTTTCTGCGTGTTTTCAAAGAAGTATCTGATGCTTATCTACTAAAGCTAGTAAGATGTCACATGACTTCACTTTGCATTTGAAAAGTGGATTAATTTAGTTTCTTTAGTCCTGAAGAAGCAAATACTAAATATATTTAAATATTCCTAAAGTAATGGGTTTCTAGGTGCTCCAGTTTTAAATGAACACAACATTATATCCTGGTTTGAAGGATGTGAAAGAGATAACGCCCAATGTACTGCTTCAATAACTTACCAATTTGAAATAGAAACCCAGTTGCTTTAAAGGAATTTAAGAATATATCAACATTCACTGCTGTGTAAAGCCCTTGTGTCTGTCAAATATTCACAGATATAGTTCTGTGGAAGGGCATTTCACTCTGCTGTTTGTTTAGGAGATGTTCACAGGTTTATTACAGGAACCACAGCATGCTATTGATTGCTTGATTCCTCTAGGTAAATTAGTAAAAGTGTTTGAATTAAATATTAGATACAAGAGGCATATTTTGAGTAGAGTCAAGTGTATGCAGCCCTTTCATTTTCTTAGGGTCACAACTTGACCTGTTTTTGAAATGAGACCTATGATTGGAAAAGGTGACTAAAAATGGCCTTTATGTCTAGCAGTGTGTCTTTGTGTACTAGACATGTCTGCCCATTTGCTGACTGAAACAAGATTTTTATCTTTTAAAACTTACTTTTAAAAGTATTGATTCTTCAATACTGTGGAGGAGAGAGCTGGATTTTCCAGGATTAACCAGGACCTCTGTTAGTGATGTTAAAGCTAAATCATTTGTTTTCAAAGCCAGATTTTCTTTGTAGCTTGGCTTTATGATTTACACAAGCAAATGAAGACCAACTTTGTAAGCAGTGCTGCGGTGGTGGTGCACAGTTACTAGGTGTGCAGTTATGTGATTTCAGGGAGACTTCAGTTTTTATTAGAAAAAAATATCATTCTACTTTGATACAGTTCAACTTTGCCTGGTTAAGGCTGCATTTTGTTTGTAAACTTCAGTTTTAAAGCTTTCTGGGGCAATCTGCATCTTTCTGCAGTTTCTTCAGAAGTGTGACTGTCAGAACTTAGACTGCATGGAAATCTTTTCAGATCCTAACCTAAATTTGTTCAGCAGCATCTCTCCTAAATGTGCTGTTCCACTGCTGAGAATTTTAAGTAGCTAATTCTGATGATGCTGGTGGTGGTTACACTAGAATGGTGGGCAAGAGACTTTCTTTCTTCTTTGGGGGAAAAAAAAGTTTAATTATGAGTTAAAATGCAGAGAAAATGAAGTGTATGGAAAGGAATCAAACAAATAGGAACCTGTTCAGGATGCACGAAAGTAAAGTATAGAAACCCATGTCAAGAACCTTCCCCTTTACTGTGTTAATATGGAAAGAGGAGGATTTATCAAGCCTGCAGTTCTGTGTATCATGGAGCACAATGGCACAGGGCCCGTCTTGTCACAACAGGAGGGTGCAAGGTGCATGGTTAGGGTAAGGTGGGAAGAACAAAGGCAGTTTCATTGCAAGGACTTCATAAAATAAGAACACATGCTTGATCTTAGTATGTATTTTGGGGCATGTGCATGAAACTTGGGCCCAGGTGCATTATCAGGTATTTTCATTCCTGGTTTTTCTTCTGTGAAAGTGTTAGTATTAGCTACAGTCATCTAAATGAATGGGGCAGTTTGATTGCAGCTGAACTTCTGTCACTTATTAAAATTCCCTTTATATAATCTTTTGCGGCCTTTTATTCCCTTAGGAGTCTCAGCAATCCAGTTTTGCCACTGGAGAGCAAAGTGAGTATTTTTTAATTAATATATTTAAGTGTATATTTTTTAATTGTTTCTCTAACTTTTTCTAGCTATGTGTAATGTTGCAAATGCCATTTGAGATGCCTGCCTTTTTTTAATTTGTGCCTTTCAGGTGGGTCATGCTGTTGAGCCCCCAGATAATTAAACTCCCAAGTTACAATTTCCATATCAGGTGTTAAGCCAAATGCTTGTTTCAGAGGTTTCTTCATACGTTTTGTTTTGTTATGTGAGAGGTAATGATTGAGTTGCATTTCTAGAGGAAATTTCTAGTTGTACTTAGTCTTATTGCTTTAATTCTTGGGAAGAGGCTTTTTTGCTCTGGATTTGATGGAAAATGATTGTATTATTTGCATACACAGCCTTCTCAAACACAGTGTATAAAAGTGCTGGAAATCAAATAAATTCTTGTATTTGGTAGAGTGTAATAATAAAGCAGCCCTCATGATTGAGAAGATGTGGTCACTGGAGCTTTCTCTTCATGTCCATGCTCAGTTCATTTGGGCACAAATTGAAAGAAACCTTGGGTGTGCCATGAGTTCTGCATTCTCATACCTCAAAGTGCAATTTGGAAATTGAACAAAAGCAGTAGCTTTCATGCCTCTCTAAATATAGTTTTTCTTTATCAAGGGTATTACTCACAGGGATTATTTAACACAGGCATTGAATTTCATATGGTTGAAACAGATTCAGAGTGTTAACTTCCAACATCAGGTTTTACTCTCCCTGCCTAGATAATTAGATTAGGCAGTAAAAGCACAGTGGTGTATTCTTAGACATTTATAAGCAGCTTAATCTAAACACTAAATACAGTGAGGAATTAAGGAAACCAATTCAGCACCTGATTCCCATAATACTAAAGTAGAGAAAAACCCACTTGCTACAGGAATGTATGATCTGCAAGTGCTTTGGGTAGAAGGGAGAGAAGCCAGCCCTGGTGTTTGACTCCTAAACATTTTCCTCTGAATAGGGACCACTGTAATTCAGCACTGGCGGGGGCCAAAGCAGGCTCACTGGAGCCAGTGTCCGGTGTTTTTCAAGGCAGGCTGTCCCATGCCTCTGGCTGAGGGAGCCCACCATGGGCCTGATTACCATTGCACAGCAGCACACAGACAGTTCTTCAGCTGTTTTAAGGAAGTCAAGCTCACCACTTAAAAGTTGTTGTTTAATAAGTGAAGCTCACTGTGCTGAGTGCCTGCCCCCACAACTGGGCGTGGGTGTGCAGGGTGCTTCTGCCACAGGGGCTTCCTCTGCCCAGCACAGGTTTCCCAAGCTCTGCTCTGCCCCACTGCACAGAGAAGGGGAGGGGGAAATTCCCCTCTGCTCCTGTGTGCCAGCAAGCTGAAGCGGGGCTTGGGAGATCCATGCCAGGCAGGGGGGAAAGCCCTGTGCCAAGTGCCTGGCTGTGGGGGCAGACACCTGGCATGCCCGTGCCCACAGCCCCTAAGGCAGAGGGTGCTGCTTCATTCTGGGCAGAGCTTTTAAACTCCCTGCCAAAGCAGGATTGAGCAACCTAAGTGGTTGAGCCCCAGCAGGGGATCAGCCTCTATTAGGCTGCCCCTGGAAAGGTGCAGGGCTTCCAACGTGTTTCTGGGGCTCTGCCGCCTTTCTTCTCCATGCTTCAGGTACTGTTTTTTTGTTTCAAAAAACTTTTTTCCCCACCCTCCCTCTCCCCCACAGTTTCAGGCCATTTCTGGCCAAATTGCAGTTTTCTAGGCTTCAGGGGAAATGCTGTATTTCAGCCTTTTCCCTGAATTACAGTGGTCCCTACCTATGAACCCAACAGCCTCAGTTCTGGTTCATGCTATAGTATCCTAGGCAAACTGTGAGAAGTTGGAAATAAAAAATTACAATTTTTATTTTTCTCAGAGATTCATCTAAAGAGGGGTCCCCTGGCTCAGCTGCTGCAGAGCTGACTAGGAATGGTGCTGAGGCTAATGTGACCGTGACATGACAGAGCAAGTTGTTCTGTATCTTTGCATGCAGAAAGCAATACTGTTACTTTGATTCTGCAAGTAAATATTTTAAGTGTTCAAAACTTACTGCTTTCTTTAAGCAGTTCTGCTTAAAATCTGGTCCAGTTTTGTGTACAGGTTTCCCTTGTCAACCGCTGGGGTTAGGTTCCGGAAAGTTCCTGTGGGTGGCAAAACCATGGCTGGCAAGACAAAAGGCTTATGGGAAAAATGGCAGGTGGCCGGCTGATTCGTGGCCATGGAAAACCGTGGTTACTCAAAACTTTATACCGTGGTAGCCAAACTGGAATATGAAACGTGGATACTTAAAACCCTGGTGGGCAAAACCAGGGTTAGCAAGGGAAACCTGTATTTAAATATTCTCATTGATAAAGTTGGGTGCTATCCTTTCACTTTGGGATCTTGTAACTGAAAATCTGCGTGAGGCTACTCCAGTTATTTCATGAACAGTGTAATTCATTCATCTTTAGTGTCCAGCTGTTGGAGTTCAGATTATTGGCTCTGTTGAAGAGAAAGGTGTAGTGGATGTTAGGATTCAAGCATGTTGTTAGTTGCGTGTGAAATTTAGAGAAGACAAATTTGAGCCGTACCTGGCTTAACCCAGCTGGGTTAGTGTGTGCTGTTCATAAGTGTTAAATACATTAATCATGCAATGCTTAACCTGTCTGGCCCCCTGGGCTGGATCCTGCATGTGAAGCTAGGTTATGGGTGCAATCCAACATGCTGGCCCCACCCTGTCCGGCCATATCTGGCCATGGAGTGACCCCGGGTGCTGGCATAGTTTAGTGCACAAGGACCACATCTTCCAGTCTACGAGGCTCCCCATGAGTCCATAAATTTGGCAGCATGGGAGCAGCAATCAAGTTCATCTCTACTCCGCTGCTACCATATTGGTGGATGCATTAGGTGACCCATAAACTGGAGGTTGAACATCACTTGATTAATCTGCTTTTGCCTCCAGATATATTGAAGGTTTTAATCTCCTGCAGCTTTAGAGTAACTTACGTGGCTGTTCTGTTTTAAGCACTTTCTTTCTGTACTTTTCCAGAAAGATACAATCCTGCTTCAAAAACGTCCAACGGTCATCAGTCTAAATCGTAAGTAGCTTTTAGAAAGAATTGGAATATCTCTTCTAGTATTTTCCAAGCTACTGTTGTCCAAAGGGGTTTGACACATTCCTCATGTTTTACCAAATTTACTTGAACATAAGACAACCCCTTAGTAATTAGATTCTATTTGTTATAATTTTCCAGGTATAGAATCTAATTATTGCAAGCTTGCCTTGAATTTTGTTCCCCTCCCACTAGTACAGCAGGGAAAATACATCTGGGAGGATCAGGTGGCCCTCTTACCCTCGACCCCCTCCCAATGTGTTCATCCTGCAGCCCCCCCCTTACTGTCAGACCTTGTTCTCTGTGAGAATGTGGAAGTGAGGGGCAAAAATGGAAACACTGACTCTGAAATAAACATATAGGTACATTTTACTATGGCTACACACAAACTTGGTTCATCCAGAATTGATGCATTTTACCTTTTTTCAGACTGCTGCATGTTTTAGCACACTTGTAAGCAGCACTTTTGTTCCTACTTATATACAGTATGAAGTATGCATATTAGTCCAAAGCCAAAAAGCTTAATTATGATTTACTTATATAGTTCATTGGGCTAAGCAGACCTGCACTCATGACTGAAACAAGGTGTTCTTATCTTGAGTCCTAGGATCCTTCAAAAATGTATATGTAGATGAGGTGCAGGGCAAACTGGCGTGACTCCACCTCTTGGAAGGCAGACCTACACTAATCCTATGCAACAGACTGAAAGGGAGGGACAGGGATTCTGGTTTATTGTTGGGGCCCTGTTTGGTGAGCATGGCATGTGAAGGCATTTTACTTGGCTTGTGCACGTCAGGACAGAGGACAGGGGCCTGATTCTTGCTGTGACAGTAGAGCCCTGGCCCCCCTTCCCTGCCATCTGCCCTGGTGCACGTGCACCTGCTGCCAGCAACAAGCTGGGCCAGGGCTCTACGGACCCTGGTACAGCAGATGGTAGGGAGGCTGCAAGTGGCTCCGACAGCACAGGCTGGCTGTGGCAGGCAGCTGGGAGGTAGCAAGTGGCTGCACTGGGGTCCATGGAGCCCCAGCCCGGTTCCTTGTTGGCCACAGGTGCATGTATGCCTCTGGGCAGAGAGCGGGGAAGGGGCTGAGGCTGCACTGCTGACACGGGTTGGGCCCCTCGTGGCTTCTCTGCCATGTGCCCCATCATGCTAATGTACATGTCGAGGTTGGGGTGTTTTTGGCACTCTGCCCAAAAGTGTTGCAGATCCCTGTACTAACCTGTCCTTGTGATAGGTTCCCATCAGGATGTTACCTTGATTTAGGCCACATGTTTTATAGCCATGCTCAGTGTGGCTGCATCTGATCAACTTCATTGTTGGTTTTCATAGCTGAGCACAGGCTTCTTTTGGCAGCAGTTTAATGCTAGACTGTATTTATTTGCAGTTTTCTTGTATTCAAATGTAAGACGAGAGGCTCTCCCTCCCCTGTTTTATATTTGAGTAAATATGAGAACTTAAATAAAACAGTTCTTGTGCAAGAACTTGATTAAAAGTGAATTCTCTTTCAGTACCAGAAAATGGGTACCATTTTCAGGCTGGTAGACAGTTTGACCACCTGCAAGTTGTTTTGCCTTTCCTGCACCCCCCCCCCTTTTTTGATCAGTTTTGCAAGCATTCAAAAAAAGTTAACTTTAAAAACATTTATAATTGTGAACACCAGAGATTTCAACAGAAGGATTGTATCCTTTATTTTTGTTTT